ACAGCCTGTTGCAGACCTTTATCAACAACTGTCTTCGTTCTATACTCAAGATCAGATGGCCGGAAAGAATCACCAACAAGAAACTATGGGAACAAACAAAACAAGAACCAATCGCTCAACAAATATGCAGGAGAAAGTGGAGATGGATTGGACACTCGCTGAGGAGGCCGTTGTGTGACATCGCGCGTCAGGCCAACGCTCGAGTGGAACCCGAAAGGGAAGCGGCGAGTGGGACGTCCAAGGGTGACATGGAGGAGATCGTGTGATGAGGAACTGAAACAGTATGGATTAACATGGATGCAAGTGAAAAGTACAGCAGAAGACAGAAGCAAGTGGAGGCGTGCAGTTGAATCCCTATGTTCCACTAGGAACCCAAGGGAACAATAATAATAATATATGTAAATAGAATAACATTTGTTAGTAATATTCCCTTGGGCTTCGAATGGGAAAAAGGGCCTCAGAAGCACATTTCCACTTCATTCTGTTCTCCGCAGCCTTTTTCAGCTGGTTACACAATTCCCCGTTATCTCCCATCTCCTTCTCACACGATCTTCACCATGTCAAACTTAGATAACTATCTCACCTATCTGACTCTCGGTGTGTCCATTTGGTAACTCTAATCACCATGTCACTTAAGGCGCAGAAGTGTGAGAAGATTTCTGTATCTTCATTCGTTTCTGTTAGCTTCCTGTGTTGCCTGCTCCCAGTTTGTCATTCATATCACCCATTAGGATTTTGACACTACCATTTGAGGTATTGTCCATTACTGTTTTCGATCGGCAGTGAAGTTCTCCCTTCTCCTCTTGATATGCGTGGCTCTTAGGCACATCACAGTGAATAACTGTAACTTCCCCCCCCTTTCGAGTCGACCCTTGCCGTTATTATCCTGGGGAAGATTGGTTCCCACCGCAGAAGAGCTTTGGATGCTCTTGGTTACGTTATAATGACTACTCGCTCAGTGTACTGCTGATTGTCGTCTGAGTGGCCAGAAGAGATTAATAACTCTCCAGTTATTAATATGCAGGGTACTTATCCATTCCATCTGCTCCCACAAATTCCTTCCACTTACATACCACATCTCACATATTTGGTAAATTGAGTAACCTCTCCAGGTTCGAACATTTCACGTCTCCACGTTTATTTTCGCTTTCAACGAAAGGAGAGATGTGGGCTGACTGACTCCTGGAAGGCTTTCACCAGCCCACGTTATTCCGTCTTTCCGATACCACCAAAGTATGAGTTTCATTTTTATATACTCTCTGTCAGTTGCATTTTCAGTAGTTGCTGGGTTGTTTTTCCGGGATAGGGTCACTAGGCCCATGCCCAGTCTTTGTACTTTCTCCTGGCTTAAGACTGCTTAGCAAAATAGGTTAGCTTACGTAGAACTATAAGCCGAACATAGCACAATCTGCTAATACTTCCGCTACTACATGGAGAAAACTTGCCTCTAAATTAACGGACCTAATGTGATTTCCACCTTAATACTTGGCGATTATATATCCCTTTTTTGAATTGGCGCCACTTCTACCCAGTTTGAATTAGGGCGTTTCAAGAAACAGGTCAAAATATACCAGCGCGATTTCATGAAAGTTCAATAAAATACATTGAATTCTTGAACTTACTGTCTGCCTTAACCCATTGCATTGTGCGGATGTCAGTATCGAACAACATATTTTGAAGTACAGCAAGTGTAACAGTTCGAGAATATAGTACCACCGATAATATGTACGCCAGAAAGGACACTTTGACGCAAAATTTCATTTAAAGCCAAGGGAAAAATACAACTCGTCATTAGACTAGCGTAGCAACGGGCTACGACGTTACATTTAGTGGGGATATGCAATAAAGTCAATCGTTAATGACTCATGCTGTGGTATTTCTAGAAACTTTTCACTAATAGAACGTTTAACCCGTCAAAGTCACTTGCCAATCTTCTCAGTTTCTGCCTTACGATCTGTGTTGTTAACTGTGACATGTGGAAGTTTTCTCACTACCACGTAGAAAGAATCGTCACTTATATGGGTAGGTTTTAGTCTGTCGATGCTAATGCTACACTATTGAGTCACGAAGTATTTCGAATGCCATGTATTCACTCTGAACACACTTTCGTGTAGTAGACTAAAAGGTGGTTGTGCTTTCTCATATCTCACCTATGCATACGAGAAGGAAGCCGCGTTCTCAAATTCACACGCTATTATAGGTTACCCACGTGATGAAACCAACCTCGAGTTATCACCTTACAATCGAAGTCTGTCGACATAAGTAGCCTGGCCAAGTGTCTTCTTTTCCACATTAGGATTGATAAATTCGCTGGTAATTAGTAGTTCCGAATAACATCTCTGGTGCTGCTGCTGAGTAATGAGCATTGGTTTTGATGAATGTGTTGGATACTCAGCATTACCACTGAGAGGAATCCTGTCTAGTGAGTTTGGTTAGAGTGAAATGTCGACGCAGCTTATTGTTTTCAACAAAAGCGTCCTGTCACCCTATTTACTTGAGTATGATAGGCTGTATGACAGCTTCTGTATGATCCCAGAAACTTTGCAAGCTGTCAGAAATCTGTGACTCGATTTGACACTCTCTCATTGGATATTATGACACGCGCACCGAACATAATTAGTGTTGAAGGTAGACGTTCACTACCACTTCTGCTGTAATATGTGAGAGTGATGTGGCTACAGGGTGTGTGGTGAACTTATCAGTGCATGTAAAAAACAGTAATGAATCCGTGAGAGTATCTTCGAGGAATCAAGAAGAACGGAATTCGCAGTATGAAGTATGTACATTTTGTCTCGGGTCATCTCTTCAACCGCAAACAGCCCGAAATATACATAGTATTAATAAGATAAGAACAAATGTTATTTATCCCACTACCAGAAGGCATCAGTTTCAGTGACTCCCTCGCCATTTTTCTGTTAGCCCATGGCCTACCAATTCTCACCCTTATGCTAGAAGTCCTGTCGATGGTTGGTACCCGAGCCAGTAATAGTATCCTTTCGGCCTCTTCAGCAGAGTCCAGTGTAACCCTTATTGGGGGTGGCTTACCCTGAGGTGTGTGGACACCCTTGTACAACCTGCACAATTTCGCTGAACTAATGTTCAGACCTAATTTATTGCACAAATCGGACCACTGTTCCTGATCAAACAGGGCTCGTTGTTCAAGCAAGCTATCCTTGCTCACAGGTACATTAAAAAGCATAAGAGAATTAGACCGACTGACCTCGGACTTAGGTTTGGCTTTTGGCTGCTTATATTCCTTTGCAGGGTTACTTTAGGCCACATCAGGTTTTGACCATTTGACATTCGTCTTCCTTCCTAGATGACGCTTTTGAGGTCTTATGACGTCTTGAGCGTTTCTTTTTTGTTTTGCCGTGTTTCACGAACTGGCTTTCAATGGATGCACGCGTAGTACCATGTCCACACGGTATTGCCTCTGCCATTTCAGTGCTAGACTGTGGCAATGCAGGCTTAGTATCAAAACAGGCGAGACCTACACGAGACTTTAGAATCGGTATGCGAGATAATAATAATAATAGTATATCCTCATTTTTTTACATGAAGGACGCCAGTTTACAGGCATCATCAATTCGATAAATTACGCATACGATTAGTAAGTATAGTTAGTAATGATAATATAATAAGGTACATATTTATTCCTACACATATAGGACACACAAGTTGTATAGGCATGGATAAGTATTATTTAAGTTACATATTTAGATTACATAGATTACGGTTAAATAACATGGTTGCTGTCATTTTATCTTTAGTTTGTGGTAAAAATCGGATAACTGGTGATTCAATGGAACACATCAAGAGATATAGAGATATTGACTTCGCATTAACAAAAAAACCCAAGTATGCGTTGGACGGATTACAGATACTTGGGAAAATAAATAAAGCTTGAAGTCAATTCCCTCATGAAACAATAAAATGCGTCTTACAATAATATATTCCCACTTTATGCACATGAGGGACTCCAGTTGACAGGCATCATCAATATGATAATATTGCACACATGGAGTAAACATGTTTAAAATTTTTCACTAACAAAAGGTATATATACAAGGGAAGATAATAGAATATTGACCGTAAGTACACTCTGCATAAGTTAAAACAGTTTATATGGCATAATCCTAGGCACAATTATTGTTTGAATTTGTTGAACATGAGAGTAACAACTGAGTGTTGCGTTATTTCCGGTCGATATGGTGGGCTACTCACAAAAGTATAAAAATGGCTTAAAAACGTAAGTTAGTTTACCGTAAACGATGTTTTAAGCAATATAATCTGCAAAAGGCTCACCACAGCAGTTATTATCCAGTTAAACATGCAGAGAAGTATTAATAATTCAGCAACCGATGAATTTTTGATTCTTTTCGGTCTGGAACCTGAGTAACTGCGAACCAATCCATACAAAAATGTCGAAAGAGGCATGCAGGAGCAGAATTTTGCCATCGAATGAGTCATTGGGATCTAAAATGCAACTGTCAGCATAATTTCGTTATTTCATAGATATCCAGGTTTATTGGCGCTGTATAGGTAGTGATTCGGATTTGTCATCATGATCGACATATGGATAAATATTCAAATACGTACTACAACTTGTTTGCCTTTCGGGTTTAGTTAATTACATCGCGTGTTGGGTTTGATTACTCTGCGATTTTGACATATTCCGCGGTGTCGCCGTGATGATGGGAAGTATGCATATGCTTTAAATGTATTACTTTGTTGGCTGCAACCTCCACAGAGTGTATACAACGGGAACTGTCGATTTATGTATTTCCTCACCACTGTGGATAAAATATCGCCGCATTCCTTTTGGAAAGGAGACCAGTTGGTGGATTATAAATGATGTCCAAGTAACTTATATCCTTCCATGTGATGTTGTGGTAAGTCTCGACCTTGTTTTCTCATATTTCATTCGTATGTTGGTTATGGTTCACCCTTTGTATCAGGTAGACATAATTCGATCGACTCTTATTTGTATGGGTGTTAATTTCATGAGTGCTGTTTTTTTGTCTGAAATTATAGATAAGGGCAAAAGAAACAACAGGTGTAGTCTCTAAGTTCATACATTAAATGGGCCTATAATTTCTGAAGCTCTTACATGGGAATTAGCACTGGTATCACTTGCAAACCCACCGCTACTGATCACTTCTTATTTTCAAGAAGTGAAGTGGGGTTAACTAGGAACTAAGTGAAAGAGAAAAATTTAGTGAAACAATTAAACTTATAAGATGTTACTAGTGGTCATATGCTCTTTTATTTCAAAAGTAGGTGGTATTTGTTCACTATTCAAGGATGCTAGCAAATAATAAATCATTTACTATGTACACCCATGGTGCTTAAGGCGGTCCAGTTGTTCAGGTCGATTAAAAATGATTGACTGCATCAGTGACTGACTGGTTTTAACGTAGAACTTAGCACAGACGTGCAGCAGATAAAGTCGCCACACTACATGTAGCACGCAAAGCAAGAGAAGAGGGTTAGGCGAAGTTCAAAAGATATAATAAAGAGAAGTGTGAGTGGACAAGAAGAGTAATTTTGAAATATAATATAGCTTTATTGGATATAGTTAGTCACAAAGAGTGTGTAACGGTTGGTAATTCTCCAGAATTATTAGCCACTGCATTCATCACTGAACATTAGGATGTTTTAGTCGACTTGTTTAGCTGCAAGCTCACAGTCAAGCATCCACGCCGTCGTGTCACTTTCATGCACGAACCCTAGCTACTTAAGCAATCAACCTCGCACTACGATTTGGTCCCGAAATATACTTCGGAATTTGGACTGTCAATTTTGGTATTTTGCCTTGCCTTCGGTGTACGCGGAACGAATACTATAGAAGTTGTTGGTATTCGATCTTGCGTTAGTATCCTATTATACTCTATTTTATCTCAACTATTTAGGACTTTATTAAAGCTAAAATTAACTCTTTTCATTTGCATTCTTCGCTCGCTTGAAGTCTGGTTGCTTTGATGAAGAAAATATATAACAACACCAGTGTTTGAGAACAACTATATTTTCATCGAAAACGTCGTAGTTTTCCATGGTAAGACCAATAAGGTTAGCATTGAACATTGCAAATGTGTACTATCATCCCAAGTACTCTATAGCTCCCTCTTGTATTCAACTTATAAATGTGCTGCCGATGATATATTATCCATAATTGTATTTAAACCACTATGCAGCTTCCCAGCACGTTCTTCTCTTTCTGAAATAGCGTTCAAAAACGTGTGGGCATAGTACTTACCCCAATATAAGTGGTTTCCAGTCGACCCTTTCTATCATCAAGAAACGGAACGAAGTTCGGGTTGTCCCTCAACTTTGAAGGTTACTTAAGGGGAATGCTTACAACTTAACATTTAAAAGAACCTGTTGTGATTGCTTGTACAATAACCGAACAATTTAATCTTTCGAAAAAGTATCAATTCGTGATACTTTGCGATTGTAATTCATAACATAACTGACCGTGACTGTAAAAATGGCATGCATTTCTTGTAAACACTCGTTTATAAGAAATATGAAACTATCATTATAATTCCACGTAATATTTGAAATGATGCTCTCTTTGCGGTTACAATGCGTCAGATGTCATTCTGTTGGCGCGCACTCCATGTAAACATACCCGTTTATACGAAATATACATCATTATCTTGCGTTAGTGTAAATCGTACTATCCGTGAACACCGACACCCTCAGCGTCTAAAGATTTCACGTCGTAGATCGAAATGCTTAATTTGTCCATTCGCCTTCATTGATTATCTTGAATTCGGACAGTAAATATTACATAACAATATCGGGCTGCTTTACGTCGGTTTCTTTTTCCGACGTACGGATGTTGTACAAGGTTGGAGGACTGATTCCTCAGGCGCTCTAAATTCACTTGATTGATCAAGTACCTGGGATTCTGAATCCATAACTTGGTCATTTGATTTTCTTATTGTTGTATCGGTTTGATTGGATTCGATTGTTGTTCCTGGTTTATTACCGGATGCCGGTAAATGAACATTGTGCCACCATCGAAAACATTGTGCTGAACAAAGACGAGGGAATCGCGGGCACGCTGCGCAAACCATGGTGACTTCCGTTTCATAATGCACGCAGTTTCTCAGTTTACATGCACTACACTCCGTTGTGTCACTGATGAAACCAGTAGTAGTAGTAGTAGTAACACCAGTTTCAAGCATATATTGACAAAGGAAGTCTATAGAGATTAACTTGTGTTTATCACTTATTGGTTTCCATGCTTCCTCTGGGGTAGAAGTACTAGTACTGGGTGTAAGAGTACCACATGTACTACTCATTTGACTGTTAGGAGGTACTGTATTATTGACTAGATGGTTTGATGGTTCACACAAATGATGATTGCTATTTATTGCCTCTCCATTTTCAATATTTTCACTGCCCATAACTTCACTGTTTTGATTTTGATCGTCATGATTTTGTTGTGCATCGATTTCTGTGTTCATACTTGTGCCTTCACTTTTCATTTTTATAACGGCTTCCAAATTTATAAGATGTCCTTTACGTCCGTATATTAAACCAACAACATGTTGTTGCAGCTCGCATGTCATGTCGAATGCACGCCGCAAGTCAAGAAAGTGCATGTCACCGGCCAAAACATGTATCGCATCAGCGTACAATTCCAGCTGCGCGCCTTTCTGAAATTGTACGCTGATGCGATACATAATGCCCATGTTTTGGCCGGAGACATGCACTTTCTTGACTTGCGGCGTGCATTCGACATGACATGCGAGCTGCAACAACATGTTGTTGGTTTAATATACGGACGTAAAGGACATCTTATAAATTTGGAAGCCGTTATAAAAATGAAAAGTGAAGGCACAAGTATGAACACAGAAATCGATGCACAACAAAATCATGACGATCAAAATCAAAACAGTGAAGTTATGGGCAGTGAAAATATTGAAAATGGAGAGGCAATAAATAGCAATCATCATTTGTGTGAACCATCAAACCATCTAGTCAATAATACAGTACCTCCTAACAGTCAAATGAGTAGTACATGTGGTACTCTTACACCCAGTACTAGTACTTCTACCCCAGAGGAAGCATGGAAACCAATAAGTGATAAACACAAGTTAATCTCTATAGACTTCCTTTGTCAATATATGCTTGAAACTGGTGTTACTACTACTACTACTACTGGTTTCATCAGTGACACAACGGAGTGTAGTGCATGTAAACTGAGAAACTGCGTGCATTATGAAACGGAAGTCACCATGGTTTGCGCAGCGTGCCCGCGATTCCCTCGTCTTTGTTCAGCACAATGTTTTCGATGGTGGCACAATGTTCATTTACCGGCATCCGGTAATAAACCAGGAACAACAATCGAATCCAATCAAACCGATACAACAATAAGAAAATCAAATGACCAAGTTGTGATTTCAGAATCCCAGGTACTTGATCAATCAAGTGAATTTAGAGCGCCTGAGGAATCAGTCCTCCAACCTTGTACAACATCCGTACATCGGAAAAAGAAACCGACGTAAAGCAGCCTGATATTGTTATGTGAAAGGAAAAGTTTGGCCTAGAAAAAGTAAACCCGGTTGCTCATCGAAAACATACTAAGATAATTCTGATGGACGACGCTATTTTTGAATTTATTGAAAAAATGTATGTACAGTAAATATTAGTTGAGCCCATCAATACAGGAACTGAAATCTTAATGTACAACCGTGAGTCATGTAAGCAAAAGGCTCGTGAAATAAGTTGCAATCTTCTCAACATCATGAAGCTGACTTAACACCTAGAGTTCCTAATTTAAATATCTGTAGGCGGATGAAGATCTTTCTATCATAATGGACCACAAAACAACGTATGGCTCTTACTCCCTTAACATTAGTGTCAGGTGGTATATTGACATTCAGGTTAACGAGTCCACAGAACCGTTTATCATTTGTTAGCAGAATCTTCCTTGTAGACAAACATTACTGCGAGTGTTTTTTGTTTCCAGCGGGCAAATATGCTCTTAACATGCTGACATTTGGTTCATACTTTCCTCAATATATTTGTATATTTATCAGTGTATAGATACATGAAATTAATTTGTAAAAGTCATATTTGGGCAAAGGACAACGTGGTTGAGATACTGTAATCATACTTTCATTGAATCACAGCTGATGGGTCCTGAGGACATGAACGTGTGGAAGCTTGCTTAAGTAACACAATATGAAATAGGAGACCTTACGCGGATACACATGTGTGTGTGTCACGTCACGTATATTCTGAGCTAAATCAAGCGGGGACTCACTTCAATGAACTCTTCCATGTACACTCGATGCGGCAGAAATTAAACATCACGTACAAGGTCATTGGGGGAGTGAGACGCTCCACGGTCATTCTCGTCCATGATAGTCGGCCATGTTGGATTGCAGTTCCGTAGCTGTTCGTTTACACATTGGTTTTTCCGTTTATCCATCAGTTATTCACAACTTATCTTGATGCACATTGTTCACAAATGTTGCATTTCACTTCATTATTGTTTCCGTTTCTGTTAAAATTAGTTATTTCGTTTGTTTCGAAAGTTTTTACCACCAGGTCAGTGCATTCATTTCATTGTAATTGTTTCATACGTTGCATTCATGCATGGCTTCAGTGTTTTAGTTGTTTTTCAGATATTAATGAATCAGTACTGTGTAGAAATTTTGGAGATTATGCACGTGAACATGTTTGGGAGGCAGAAGCCATTGTTTCCAGTTCATTTTTGGTTTCCGTTATTGTTGCTGGCTCAATTGGTTACTTAATATGTAGGAATCTGGAAAAAAATGTCTTTCACGTTCATGTTTACAGCATGCAACAATCTACGAGTGAATCTGGTGAAGAGAGCACGATCAGGGTTGATATTAGCAAAGTTTTCGAAGAACAAATTAAACCTAGAGAATAAAATAAAAGACAGATTCAGCGAAGAAAATTTTCTTTATCGACGAAATCATCTTCAGAGGCTGTACAATCGTATTTATAATTACAAAAATATATAGTGGTCTATTATTGAGTAATACGGGGTGACATAATTGATATAATTACTCAGAAGTGGCTTTAGAAGTGAAAATTAGAAGTTGAAAATTACGTGGTACTCGACGGCAAAAAAAGATAGAGATTTGATAAGGTTAAAATCGCTATTAAGTGAGAATAAAGGTATTTGAGTGTCAATTTAACAAGTGTGAAGAGGGTGTGAAAATATACAAAAGGAGCATCTGAGAGTGATAATAGTGAATTAATTATTAAAGCAAAAGCTAACTAAAAGTGAAATTATAATGAAAAGAAAAAATCAAAAAAATTTTTATTTACAAGGAACGATTAGTGAAGAGGTTAAGACCAAGGTAGAATAAGAGACTGGACAAACTTTTTCTGTATACAGAGTTCAGGGTTGTATTGATGGATTACCAATGCCTCTGCCATACAAAAAAGCCGAAACCTGACGCCCTTAGTACCATTTGGCTTCACTTTGTAGATGATCTTGAAAGAGGATTCTGCTGCTTTGGGCCACCTCAATGTGTGTTTATAAATTCACTTGCTCGTGTGGAGCTAGTTATATTGGCCGCACAAAGCGCACGCTTTCCAAACGCATCTCTGAGCATTATCCGGCATGGTTAGCAAAGGTACAATGTAAGACAATTACTAGCTCAATTCTCGAGCATTTGGTGAACTCAGGCCACGTAGCTCCACCAGAATCGTCTTTCAAGATCATCTACAAAGTGAAGCCAAATGGTACAAAGGGCGTCAGGTTTCGGCTTTTGTGTATGGCAGAGGCTTTGGTAATTCATCAATACAACCCTGAACTCTGTATACAGAAAAAGTTTGTCCAGTCTCTTATTCTACCTTGGTCTTAACCTCTTCACTAATCGTTCCTTGTAAATAAAAAATTTTTTGATTTTTTCTTTTCATTATAATTTCACTTTTAGTTAGCTTTTGCTTTAATAATTAATTCACTATTATCACTCTCAGATGCTCCTTTTGTATATTTTCACACCCTCTTCACACTTGTTAAATTGACACTCAAATACCTTTATTCTCACTTAATAGCAATTTTAACCTTATCAAATTTCTATCTTTTTTGCCGTCGAGTACCACGTAATTTTCAACTTCTAATTTTCACTTCTAAAGCCACTTCTGAGTAATTATATCAATTATGTCACCCCCTATTACTCAATAATAGACCACTATATATTTTTGTAAGTATAAATACGATTGTACAGCCTCTGAAGATGATTTCGTCGGTAAAGAAAATTTTCTGTGCTGAATCTGTCTTTTATTTTCTTCAAATCCCTAAATGATTATTAATGCCTAGTGTACTAGATCCAAACGCACGAACTAGGACTGCCTGTAGTGAACGCGGTGTTAACAACCATTTTATTTGTTTCAAAACGATTTGAAAAGAGGATAACATACGATGATCTGGTGAGTGTTCGGTAAGGATCATGATACATAATTTTATCACTTATTGTTCCACTACACTTTTTACTCTGCTAAATAGACTACAACTTAGTTGCTGTAATACTAGCTACTTCTATACTTTATACTTCTTAAACGCAATTTCCTAGGCGTCTGCTACAAATATATTATTAATATTAGTAGTACTATTTTTGAGTTGAAATGACTATCTTCAGTCAACAGTTACCCATTTTCATATAATTTTCTAAAAAAAATTCATATTGTTGAAATTATGTAGTATTTTTCCATTATGTAATTGATGAGTCACTTTGCAATGTGTAACGCACACCATATAAAATCGGTCGTGAAAATTTAGCATAACAAGTTCTGCTAACCAGTTGCCTTACTCAGGACCACTTTACATAACTTTATCACTAATTCTTCCTCTACTCATATCACTCTGATAAATAGAATATAACTTAGTTGCTCTAATATTAGCTATTTTTATCCTTCATAACTCTTAAGGGAAACCTAATTTCTTAGTCTGTTGTAGTAATCCACTTGTTCACTAGTATGATGATAATACTGCTAACAATGTCCTCTGGTATTATTGTGCCATGTGACCTATTGGGAAGCACTTGTCATGAAAGCTGTTAATGTGCAGCATACTGTATGATTGGGACGGAGTCAAAGCAATCCAATATTACAACTGCAGTCATTGTAAAAGGTCTCAGAGCTTAATGTCAAAAAAGGAGGGAGGGTGGCGCATGCTGATCAGCAGATTTGGTAGTGGTGGTAGTGTGAATCGCTCCGATCTGTAGGACAGCAACATGCATTATTTTGGCAGCTCGAGAATTAAACATGAGTTTAGATACTGAAAGTATAAAAAAATTGACTTTATAAAAAATTTTAAAAAAAAATAAAACAATAATGACTACAGTTTTAGCTTGTAAAAAAAATCGGGTTGTGAGGGCGATTGTTACTTCCCGGCTGCCCACACCGTGGAAGTTGGTTGCGTGACCGCAGAGCCCAGGGGACAACTGCTTGAGGCCGGTCACACACGGCCTGTTTTTGTTTTTTATTTGGTGTGTCTCAGTAGCGTATTTATCACTTCTGCCCTGTGACACGGCAGCAGAAAGCGCGGTCGTTGTTAATCCGGGCCCCGACCGATCCGGCATGGTATTTTGTGATTTGTTTGAAGTCATATGATTGGATTGGGTAACTGCTTTTAGTCTAACCGCTATCCAAACAACCTTCCTGGCATGGTAGGACCTGCAGGAACATAAGTTCCAGCCAGTATAGCTTGTTGGGTCATTGCATTGTTCAAGCCCGACCACCACGTCAAGGTAGCAGCTTTCGGTCGGGTGTAAAAAAAAACAGTGCTTTCGCTCCTAACATCTACAAGCCTGCTCAGTTTCTTGTCAAGATGCTATCCCATGGGCCATACACAAGTTCGCCAGACATCCTACAGGTCACCATATTCAACAGGTTCTAATCCTTCTAGCCACTTCTCTCTGAAATGTCACTTATATACTTCACGATAATCCTTCTACCTAATTACTATTATACTCTATTTTATCTCAACTTCCTAGGCCTTTAGTAAAGCTGAAATTTCTTTTGTTTTTCTTTTTTCTCATTCACACTCTTCTCTCGCATAAAGTTCGGTTGCTCTGATGGTAAAAACAAAACATAACAACAGCGCTCATGTTTGAGAATAACTTTATTTGCATAGAAAACGTCATAGTTTTCTACGGTAAGACCAATATGGTTAGCATCATACATTGCAAATGTGCACTATCATATCAAGTACTGTATAGCTTATTCTTGTATTTTTCTTGTAAATATACTTCCAATAATGTATTGTTTATGATTGCATTTTATACCACTTTGTAGCTGTGCAGGACTTTCTCCACTTCCTGAAATAGCGTTCAAGCACGTGGTTGTCGCTCAACTTCGATGGAAACCTTCGTGGAAGATTTACAAATTAACAATTATAAGAATCTGTTCCGATTGCTTGTATTATATAATTCAACAATTTGAACTTTAAAAAAAGTGATAATCTTACTATCCCTTGTAAACGTTGTACTTACCTCAATATTGGTTGGCTATCGTATGCCTACAACTACGGGTTGAAACAGAAACGAGGTCGATTTTCCTGCGCAACCTGGAGGACTACTGTTTAATTCAATAATGATACGACGTGGGTCAGACAATGAGTGTATATATTATGTATATATATATCAAATATTTAGCTGTTCAAACATTATTAACTTGTAGACAATCTACTATTTGACATTATATCATACTTGATCGTGCCTGTAAAAATGGCATGCATTTTCATGTAAATTTATGTTTATATGAAAATATAAATTAT